CCCCCCGCCGTTCATTCTGCATTGTATCAATTCACACAGATTTGTATCTACAGTCTGTATGACAGATACCAGGAGTTAGATAGTTTTTAGTTTGACAAAAATATGCAAAACGTATTATTTCAATGAATACAATCATCCGACCATGACACTTCAGAAAGGACAGCTTCTGTTCTGATATCCTTGCTCACCATTTAATGTCAGCTTCACTGATGAAAAACTTACAAAGCGTGAGGAGTTGTCGTTCCTCACTGTCTTGGCGTTTCCAAAGGCCTCCAGCAGTGGGTTGGCGCTGATGATTTGATCCTCAAGCGTTCCCTGAAGGACAATAATTGTTGCTGGTTACCCTTTCCAAAAATCATGTCAGGAACAGAGAAAAGCATTGATTCCAGCCACTATCTATTAATTTACCTGCATTTTTCCAGATTGTTCTTCCTTCTTCTTATCTCCACTTGCTGCAATTGTTGCAAAGTACTGGATGACACGCTTTGTGTTCACAGTCTTCCCTGCACCAGATTCTCCACTGTCAGACCAAAGAGAGAAGCAGAGAATGTGTGGTCAGGCAGGGGTTCCCCTGGCAACCGGCAGCCCTGCAGGGACCCAAACTGGGAGTTTACGTACGTGATCAGGATAGACTGGTTCTCCCGATCTGTAAAAGAGGCAGAAACAAATATGCTTCTTAACTGAAGAATATAAAAAGATGGGAAAATCATGAAGGAAATGACAAGAAAAATGTCTGCATGCTTTCTCCTCTGCTTACTAGTAATATTTAAAAAAAAAATCAATTCTTTGCAAATCATGATCATGCTTTTTTATGAACAATGAAAACACTTGAAGTGACGTGTTTCTTCCATAGTGGACTCTTTACTGTCTTTTTTTTTTTTTTTCTTTCATGCACACAGTAAATTGTTTCTTGTTTTGTTGTTTGAATTTTCTGCTATATGGACTGTGTTTAGAGCAGGGATAGTAAAAACCCATGACAAAGCATTTCCTGAACATGGGTGATAGTTCTGAACCCAGTAGTACAGAGAAAGGAAAGAATGAAAAGTTGGAAGCAAAACTACCAGCAGTATATAATACTATTTCATTTTTTCAGTGCATGTTTTTTTCAAGACAAATGTGGATATCTGTGATATTGATGTTTCCTGTAGACCTTCTGTGCATTAACTTCACATTGTTAGATAGAATTTTCACACCAGATATGGATCTCATACCCTGTTCACTTTCCCTATTTCATTACAGATATAATATATTCCTTGCCTCCACCTAATCCATTTGACATCATTTTTCCTGACACACTATCTCTGGTACTATATTTCATTTTTAAAAATACTGACATGAAAAAATCCTGTTTAAATTAGCAGTGGTTAATGCTATGACTGAAATAAAGCTCTGATGATGTGTTAAGAAAATATCTGCATATTATCAGGGAAACATTCTTTTAAAAATGTGTTTTTGATGGATACATTCTGACAGCCACTCACCTCTTCGCATGAACTTAAACGAGAAAAATGTTAAAAATACTGAATTGGGGGGGTGTCATACATTTAAGGTAGTATAAAGAATGATGTATGTTAAACGAAATAATAATATCTATGCAGCAGAGCCATAGAAGCTTTGAAAAAGTCTTCTCATATCACTAAGACAGAGTATCCCTTCAGGGAATTTCATGGTACAATCCTTTTGAGACAGATGGAGCTGCTCACCAGTCAGCATGAACTGATAGGCATTGTCAGAGATGGAGAAGATGTGTGGAGGGGCCTCCTGGCGCTTCTTGCCTCGGTAGGCCAACACCACCTCGGGGTTGTACACCGGCAGCCACTTGTAGGGGTTGACAGTGACGCAGAAGAGACCCGAGTAGGTCTGTGAGAAAGGGAGACAGCACGTTGGCTTCCACTTAGCCTGGCAGAGCAGTTCCTCCTAGCTACCCAACGGAAGACTGGTGCTGGTACTTACGTAGATCATCCAGGCTGCATAACGCTCTTTGAGGTTGTACAGCACAGCGGGTTCATGGAGGTGGGTCATCATGGCCATATCCTCGATTTTATCATACTTAGGAGGGTTCATGGAGAAGATTTGATCTTCCTTCACTGTCAGAGTCTTCCAGAGGAAAGAAATGAACATGAATGTGAGCTAGGAGCCCAGTTTGGGAATAAAAAGCTGTTCATAAATCTTGCATTTTACCCACCTCTCCACCTTCAGTCTTGACAGTGACCTTTCCTGATTCCTTGCTTTGGATTGTCCCTTTCACAAAGGATTCCTTAGGATGCACCACAAAGACGGATGTCTTGGCATCAAAAGGCTTGTTCTGGGCCTCGATTCTCTCCTTTTCTGACTTTCGGAGGTAAGGAGCTGCCTCCCCAAAGATGGCCATCTCAGAGTCTGATGACATGGCTGCACTTTATGGAAGGGCTCGTCAGCAGGCAATACTGTGGAAGAGCAGATATGTTGTCTGAATGAGTCTACACTTTGTGTTGCCATACAGTTTGTTGAAAAACTCACACAGCATGATTCTGAAGGAATCTCAAACAGTTCTTTGGTCCACCTTTCCTGTCCAAAGCAAGGCAAATGTTGGATCAAGTTATACATAGCTTTTTCTAGTTCTGATTATCTCCAAGAATGGAGGTTCCTTGATCCTTGTGCATCCTTTTTTAATGTCTGACCATCCTGATAGTGTGGGGTTTTTTTTTTCCTAATACCTTATCAAAATTCCTATTTCTGCAACACATGCTTGTTGTCCCTCATCCATTCATTCTGCACATCTGAGAAGAGTCTGGTTCTTTTTAATGTATAACCACACACTTTTTGTTGAAGATAGCAATAGAACAACCACATTTTAATTTTCTCTCCAGAATGGACAAACCCCACACTTTCAGTCACTCCTCATTAATTTTCTCCTACTTGTCTTAGAAGATTCCACTGGCCTCACTCCAGAATGTCAATGCCTTTTTTGTCTCTGGGGAACATCAAAATGATCATAGTGCTCCAGATATGGGAGTTGAATGCAAAGGAAAATCACTTTCCTTTATCTGCTGGCTGCATTGTTATGAGTGCCTGATGTGCTCTTGACCTTCATTCTCCAAAGGCACAATGCTGACACGTGCACCAGAACACATGATTAAGCAAAGATGTTTTCTAGCCAAATGACAGTCAACATATCATTGTATAGGGACTATTATTTCCTATGGGAATTCATACTGTCTTTACTAAAATTCATGAGGTTCTTGTCAGCTCCAGGATGAAGAATTTTGGGAGCCTTGTTAAGGGTAACACTGCTCTGTAGAATCTTCATCAGTCCCCTGGTTTGACTTGGAGGTGTACACACAATCACACAGAATCCAGCCCAACCATCAACCCAAC